AAAGTTGATTATTTTGACAATTTTCATACACTATAATTCAAATAAAATTCAATAAAAAAAATATTTTCAAGCGGCTGGAGGTAAGGGGGTTCGAAAGAGGGTGGTCACTTGAACAAAACCCGATAACCTAACCTAACCTAACCTACCCTATTGATAAAGATATTTAAATAATGTTTTATATAACTTTCTCAATATTTTTATGTATTTTTCATTAGTTTTACCTTTGAATTGGCATATTTATTAACTTTGAATCCCTATAACTTTTTATGGGGGTGAGACCGCCACGACCTTTTTATGGTACAGTGGGGGGGAGACCTCCTCTTTCGATCCTGAAGAGGGTGGGGGCCTTCATCTAAACCTTTACCGTATTTTTAATTATTTATAAGGGAGACTAAGTGTAAATTAAAGTATTTGTAAAATAAAATAAGAACAAGGTTTGGTTAGGTTGTGTTTAGTGTCGAAGTGTATATACGAGGGTTAATCGTAAAGTATTTTTGTTTTTAGTATAATTTGTTTTCGAACAAAGTTGGTAAAAAATTTCTGAATCGTATTTTGGGTCAGTACCCTTTCACTCAATCCGGCATTACAACAAAAGCTCAAAAGAAAGAATTGAAGGATATTTTAGAATTAAACGAGGACAGAAAATGTGTCGATATTAATTTACTCGTTTGCTATTTGTTTTGTACCGTTAACAAAAAAATCCAGAGTGATCAACAAAAGGCCGATGCCGAAAAGGTCTTAGACTACTTGATTGCAAGCGGTTTTAGATTTTCGTCGGAAAACAATGTCAATTATTTAATCACAGTAATTCGAATTGTATTGTTGGTCAACTCGAGCTTTTGGATTCAGAAACAGTTGAACATCGTCGGAATATTAGACGGTTTCGTTTCTTTTTACGAGAATTCTTCGATAACAGAAGAACATCGTGCCAGAGCGTTGGAAATTTTGTGTGAAATTCCTCACATTGCAAACCTGAACTCGTAAATATTTTTTCGATTGTTTTCGTTTTCGTTGAGAATTTCAGGTGACATTTTTCAGGACGCAAAAATTTCAGAAATGGTTAAATAAGGTGCCGTCTTACTTATCTAAAAACGAAACGTCGACGTCTGTTATCGATATGGTTTTGCTACTGTCAAAGCAGAATAACACTTTGATACAAGACGGTTTGACGAAACATTTGTCCGATGTATTAGGTAATATACTACGCATAACTTAACTAATTTTGTGTTAATGAGAGTATTTTTTGTTTTTTAGATTTTATTCCTAGCATAAATATAAAAAATGTCGATGAAAAGGTGCGTTTGTTAAAAATTTTGGGTTGTTTCTATTATGTTAGGAATTTTAATGAAACGGATAGAAAAACATTTGCTAGTTTCGCAGAAAAAAATGCCGAAACTACGGTAGGAAAGATGGTTGGAGATTTGTTTGTATTTCGTTCGCAAAATTAATTAAAGAAAAGACAAAATAACGATAATTTGAGTTTTATTTGCAAAATTTAGCAATGACAACGATATCTTTAAGTACGGTACTGTTTCCTAAGGTTACGTTGAACTTTGAGATATAATATACTTTATTTGGTTAATTAAAAAAATGTTTTCAGGTTGAAAAAGAAAAAATATTTCCCTTTTCTAATATAATTTTGTCACATTTAAAGTGTGCCATGACAGATATTAACAAGAGTATACAGGGCGATTCTCTTTTGTTATTAGACAGTTTAGTTACCGATTTTCCTCAAGTTGTTACCGAATATTCCGAACAAATTTTGCCCATATTTTTTATTCTCATATCAAATGTACAGAGTAACTTAAGCAGTACCAAAACACTTCAATTAAATTTGCAAGGTACCTCAACTAGTACCAAATGGAGACTGCAGGTTCTCAATAGACTCCAGAAAATTTTAATTGTTATTGTTAGGAATAAAATTGACAACAAAAAGTAAGAACCAATCGCTTTTATTATTATTAACAAATGAATACGTAGATGCAATTTGTTTTCCCTTAGTTTTACAACAATGACGCGGGTTTCAATGGCTCCCGACGCCATGTTGCTCTCTACGTGACGTCACGTAAGAGGGGAAAACAATTACGAGCATTTTTCCCTTGGTTGTACAACAATCACGCGGGTTTCAAATGTCTCCCGACGCCATGNAAGATGGTTGGAGATTTGTTTGTATTTCGTTCGCAAAATTAATTAAAGAAAAGACAAAATAACGATAATTTGAGTTTTATTTGCAAAATTTAGCAATGACAACGATATCTTTAAGTACGGTACTGTTTCCTAAGGTTACGTTGAACTTTGAGATATAATACACTGGGTCTTTACCACCGGGTTTTTCAGGACCGCATTTTTTTTCTTTACCCTTTTTCCCCTTTTTCTCTTTCTTTTTGTCCTTCTTCTTTCCACCCTTTTCCGTTTTTTCTTCTACGACTGGTTTAGGGAGAACGCCGAAACGGATTTTCCAACTCTTTTTTGAATTGGGGTTTATATTTGGTAAATTATCTTTAGAACACACATCAAACACTGGCATTTCTTCCTCTAAAATCAACAAATAAACAAATGAAACAGTAATTTCTGGGCTAGTTTTTGTTTCGCACAAATATACGAGGGACATTCAATAAGAAAACGATTCTTCTATACGTATACCTGATCTTTCATAGAAAAATTGCTCCAAAGAATAAATTTCATCGGGGGTGAGATCTTGAGAATATTTTGCAACCTTTTTGCTCTTAGTTGTACTTTTATCCTTTTTTCCCTTTTTGTCCTTTTTTCCTTTTTTGTCTTTTTTATCTTTGCCTTTGTCAGCAGAGCCTGGTTTAGAAACGGGTTCGGGACTTTTAATGTTCCCTTCCAGTTCGCAAGTTTTAATGAAATTTATTATAACGGGGGCGCGGGTTTTATTGTCGATCTTAAACAATGTTACGAAATGTTAAAATTTAAAAACGGGTCGATTAACAATTTTTTACCTCGATGTTAAATTCTGTGAATTTCCCAAACGGCGTCTCTAGTCTGCATACTACGAAGTCAGGGTTGAACTTCAAATTGGGACCAATGCCTTCACCACTCAGGGCTAAAGTACAAATAGTCCTGCCCGCCCTTATCTCAAAAAATTGTGTCTCCTGTAGACGAACAAGTAACTTTTTAATAAATGTCACAAATGTCACTTTTAATAAAACAAAAAAAATATCTTTAATTGTTATTAGCTATTTATTTATCTGTAATGTCTAAATACGTAAAGTTAAAAAATGCTGTGGCTTTTGGGTCTTCGAGGGATAGGTTTAGCGGAGGTTTGGGTATTCATCCGGGGCTGGACCCTAACGGGGCCATGGTCAAGAGGTCTTACAGCCTCTCACCGGGTCAATATAACCCATGCGACATCCCCTGTAGTTATAAAGCGAGATTTAACGAAAGGTATTGACTCCAATTATCATTATTGACGCTATTGAGAGTGTTATCTGTCCTAGTTGGAGAAAAAAATTGGCGATAGAACAATGGTCAAAGAATATAGGGTACACGCACCCCGAAGTGCTCGCGGAAAGACAATTCTTGCAGTCCACCAGGGGACCTGGTGCTTACGACATTAACGAAAATTTTTTTAAAATCCAAAGTACTAACGTGGAAGGGGACAATTCTTTTGGGAAACAGAAACGATTTCGCAGTCTGGTCAAAGATCAAACGCCACCCCCAGGTTGATTTTATTTTCCTTTTTTGTTACGAAATACGAATTTGGTCACTTTAAGGGACGTATACGGGCGACTGGATAAACAAACCCATCACAACTCACAAACAAATGTCGAACGTCCCGTCGTTCGAATGGGACGGCTTTGTCGACAGGTTCAGGGGCACGTCCCAGTCGTGGAAACAACCCCCTAACATTTATAACGTCAAAGACGGCGGCGGTATAGACGATTTGGTCGCCAAGAGGGTGTCCATTAGGGGCCCTTACGATCTATTCACTGGTCCCAGAGACGGGTCAACAATTAAAAATCATTTTTCTCCTGGGATTGATAAGGGACCAGAAGAATATTTCAAAGTATACCCGAGCGAATTTGATAAATTATTGACGTCATTCGACAAAAGAAGGTAAACTGAATTTAGGTTAGGGTTAGAGGTAGGGTGTTTATAATAATTGTAATTTACTTGTGTCAGATATGGGAAGTTTTATAAAGCGCGAAGATGGGGCGCTAAGCCCACCTACAGAAACGCCCTGAACGATATGAGTTTGTGTTATAAAAACCCTTCTGAGCCCGGGCCTGCCCATTACAGCATACTAAAGTAAGAATTAATCGTTTACGTGAACGTGTTTGCCTGGATAATCCAGCCAATTGATATTTTTAGAGAAAGAACCTTTACCCAAAGTTTGTATCCGTTCAGTCAGTCGGTGAAAGAAGCAAAGCCGTCAATTAAATGGAAAATATTACCGGGGGTCGGTAGATACAACCCCAGAGACCCACGTTGCTCCAAGACCTCGCACAAGTCGTGGATGTTCTTGTCTAAGATCGGTAGGCCCGAATTTAAAGCCCCTGAGTATAACGCTTTTTAAAAATAAACATTTTTCGGACTAATAAAATCGTAAAAGACATTATAATAATGTTTTATTCGCAACTACGGACCTGTCTGGTGTAGGAAATTAAAGAGTTCGGACCTGTGCATTTTTATATACTAATTTAATGTACAGTACGTCCCAGAAAAACATGCATTTTACGTACGTTCGTACCTGTGCATTCTTATAGACGAATCTAATGTACAGTACGTCCCAAAAAAACATGCATTTTACGTACGTTCGGACCTGTGCATTCTTATAAACTAATTTAATATACAGTACGTCCCAAAAAAACATGCATTTTACGTACGTTCGGACCTGTGCGTTCTTATAAACTAATTTAATGTACAGTACGTCCCAGAAAAACATGCATTTTACGTACGTTCGAACCTGTGTATTCTTATAAACTAATTTAATGTACAGTACGTCTCAGAAAAACATGCATTTTACGTACCTTCGGACCTGTACGTCAGGCCTGACGCTGGAAGCTGGCGGAAATTTTAAAATGGCGTGGATGCGCGGTGGCAAATGTAGTCAGATTTAGGTATAACGATTTCAGCCCTCATTCTTCAGTATTACTATCAGGGGCGTAGATTAAATATTTAAAAGCAGGGATCAGTGAGTGAGTAAGTAATAGACATACAAACAGAAGAACTAATTGTTGATGTTGGTGACAGTGATAGAGATTCCGATGATGACAGTGAATGTGAAAACTAAGTATAAAACAAAAGCAATAGGTTAATTTTTTCCTTTTGATAAGTCATGTTTCTACATTATTTTCTAGTACGCTACTGTTCCATCTGTATTAATACTATAATTTACGCCTACTGAAAGCTTATTTGTGTATCGGTTCCAAGTGACTTACCCAAATAGGTCATAAATGGGCAAGTACCTGCGCGACCGCTCGCCAGCTTCCTTCGTCAGACCTGTACATATTTATAAACTAATTTAATGTACAGTACGTCCCAGAAAAACATGCATTTTATGTACGTTCGTACCTGTGCATTCTTATAGACTAATTTAATGTACAGTACATCGCAGAAAAACATGCGTTTTACGTACCTTCGGACCTGTACAGGCCTGACGCTGGAAGCTGGCGGAAATTTTAAAATGGCGTGGATGCGCGGTGGCAAATGTAGGCAGTTTTAGGTATAAAGATTGCAGCCCTCATTCTTCAGTATTCCTATCAGGGGCGTAGATTAAATATTTAAAAATAGGGATCAGTGAGCAAGTAATAGACAGACAAACAGAAGAACTAATTGTTGATGTTGGTGACAGTGATAGAGATTCCCATGATGAGAGTGAATGTGAAAACTAACTATAAAACAAAAGCAATAGGTTAATTTTTTCTTTTTGATAAGTCATGTTTTTACATTATTTTCTAGTACGCTACTGTCCTATCTGTATTAATACTATAATTTACGCCTACTGAAAGCTTATTTGTGTATCGGTTCCAAGTGACTTACCCAAATAGGTCATAAATGGGCAAGTACCTGCGCGACCGCTCGCCAGCTTCCTTCGTCAGACCTGTACATTCTTATAAACTAATTTAATGTACAGTACTTCGCAGAAAAAGATGCATTTTACCTACGTTCGGACCTGTGCATTCTTATAGACTAATTTAATGTACAGTACATCTCAGAAAAACATGCATTTTACTTACATACCTCTTTGGGTTCGTTCGGGGCAAAAATAACTGGGATATTAAGGACGTGCTCTGATTCTAACTTTATGTTGTTGGGAACGGGACAAAAGAAGGGACCAATGGGACTTAGTAAGCTGAAGTTTGGGTATATTGGCCCATCTGAAATTTACGTAATATTCTCCTTTAATTGTTATATGAATACTATTGTTGTTGTACATTGATCTTACGCTGTATGTTTTGTATGCTGATCACTTTTTTTGTGGACATTCCAACTAATACAGGGCCAAAATGAACCCTTTGTTGCTTGAGGTTAAGGGTGAAATCGGGCTGGACTACTTTACAAACCGCATCCAAATATAATTTGTCTCCCCTTTTAGTACTGCAGTAAGTATTACCGAAAATGGTGTTTAAACTACATGTAAGGAAAGTTATAGGTGCGGATGCGGATGCGGATGTGGAGAAAAAGCAATTTTTTAACAATTAACCTTAGAAATTGGTAAAGGCCAGTTGATTAATTGATTCTGTCCTAATTACACCGAAATTAGGACATCAGTTCAATTAACTTCAGGTATATTTTCGTGAAATTAATTATAAGAGTACGTACTTCCGCATCTACAACTTATTGGTGTATCTGTAAAAATTGGGTACCTGTTGACGCACAAATAATCCACTGTACAAACGAAGCGAGATTGGATTTCATATGATTCAAAATTTCTCCATAAGACCATTTCGGCGGGATACAGATCGAAAATGTTTATTTTTATTTCTTCGTCTTTCACGATTATTTGTGGAAGGGGTTTTTCGGTTTCTTTCGAAGAAAATGGCACTTATTAATTTTGTATAAAACGGTAATATGGTACGCCGTACCTGTACTTTCCTTGCTAGTAGTAGTAGTACCTTTCTTATCTTTCTTCCCTTTTTTGTCCTTCTTGTCCTTGTCCTTCTTGTCCTTTTTTTTATCTTTACCCTTAGCACCTTTGCCTTTTTTCATTTTGGCTTCCAGTTCTTTTTGACGTTTTTCCAAGAGCGCTTGCATCTTTCGATCTATTATTTCCTGTCTCTTAATTGCTTTAGCTTGTTCCTCAACCACTTCCGGCGGGACTTCGGGTTTCGCAACGAGATACAGTTTTTTTTCCTGAAAGAACTCTCATTTTTATTTTTCATTCAGACTCCCTTATTTTTAATTTTTCAAAAAAAAGCTTGCTTTATAATATCTTACGTGAGGTATAGGCGGATAGGGGGGGGGTGAGACGCAAAATTGGGAGCATTTAAAATAGATGCCCACAACCGGAGGAAGGTTTCTGAATAAAAAAAAAATAAAAAAACAAAGTAAGCCGTTTTCGTAGATGTGTATAGGGTTGTTCGGAAAGTCATTTCGTTTTTTTTTTTG